GCCCCTCCCCCTCCGCAACCCTAATTATAATGCCCCTCCCCCCTCTGCACCCCTAATTATAATACCCGACTGCACGCCTTATAAAGCCCATTCCCCCTGCACCCCCTATTATAATATCTCCCACTGCCCCCCTAAATATAATGCCCCTCCCCCTCTACACCCCCATGGCACTTAAATGGAATGTCCCTCCATCACCACACCCCCTATTTATAATGTCCATCCCCCTCTAATTATAATACCCCATTGCACCCCTAATTATAATGCCCCTCCCCCACTGCACCTCAAATTGTAATGCCCCTCCCTCACTGCACCCCTAATTAAAACACCCCCAACTACAACCCTACCTATAATGCCCCCCCACTGCACCCCTAATTATAATGCCCCTCTCCTTTTGGACCCCTAAATATTATACACTTCAACTGCACCCCCAATTCTAACAGCCCTCCCCCACTGCACCCCCAATTATAATAGCTGTCATCCACTGCACACCTCCCACTACAAGACCCCACCCCCAACTTTAATCCCCCCCAAATTCAGACCCCAACTATAATGCCTCTTCCCCCACTGCACCCCTACCAGTAATGACCCTCCCCCACTGCACAGCAACAACACCCCACCCCCACTACAATTCTGCCCCAGCCTCCAAATGAACACCCCCAAAGATAATGCCCCTCGTTCTGTGCACCCCCAACTACAATACCCTCCCCCACTGCACCCCCAACTACAATACCCTCCCCCCCACCACACACTCCCAGCTACAATGCCTCTCCCACATTGAACACTCAGCCCCTCCCCTAATTCACACCCCCAACTAAAATGCCCCTCCTCTACTGCAAACCCTGAACTACAATAACCCTCCCCCCTTCACACGCAACTACAAAGACCCCCCCACCACCACACGCCCAATTATAATGTCTCCCCACCAATACACACCTGGAACTACAATGCCCCTTCCCCACTGCACACCTCCCTCTTTCCAGTGTGTCCCCCTCCCCCCATCACCCTTGGCTGGCAGTGCTCCCCAATACCAACATTCTCACCCTCTGATTGGCCCCAAATCTCAGCCTGTGAAAAAGCAGCCGATGTGTTCCCAGCCCCGCCCCCCACTGCCCCCGTGGTCCAAAGAGGGAGGTTGTAGTCCCACTTGGTGAGAAGCTGGGGGGGGGGGGGGGGTGACACAGAGAGGTGTGGTGACCCCGCCCTCTCTGTGTCACCCCCCCCCCCCCAGCTTCTCACCAAGTGGGACTGCACTTGAATCCGTGCAACCTCCCTCTTTGGACCACGGGGGCGGTGGGGGGCGAGGCTGGGAACACATCGGCTGCTTTTTCACAGGCTGAGATTTGGGGCCAATCAGAGGGTGAGAATGTTGGTATTGGGGAGCACTGCCAGCCAGGGGTGATGGGGGGAGGGGGACACACTGGAAAGAGGGAGGTGTGCAGTGGGGAAGGGGCATTGTAGTTCCAGGTGTGTATTGGTGGGGACACAGAGGTGTGGGTGACCCCGCCCCCCACCCCAGACAGCACTGGTGGCTCACATGCCTCTCTGGGCCTCGGTGTAGTCATTCGTTTCTTAAAGGGGCACCCCCCTCTTCTTAAAGGGGCACCCCCCTCACCCAAGCCAACACACACCACAAATAAAAATGAAGCAAATACTTTTTATTTCCAGCAACGTCTGACACATAAAAAGCTCCAGACTTAAAGTGCCCCCCCCGCCCCGACATAATACTGAACACTACGGGGGAAGGGAAGGCGCCCGGGGGGCCCGGAGCCGGGAAGTAAAACACAGAAGATCCCTTTATGACTGACGGAGGATAAAATCTGCAAAAACGGGAAAACGAGACGTAAACATGAGATTGATGAAAAAAAAAAAATCTGTACAAAGATGCTACTATGGGCGGAGCTCCTCCCCCCAACTCACAGTCTCAGGTGAGCCGACCGCACACGTCTCAATCCGATTGGACGATCTCCCAAGGGCCACGATTGGAGAGGTGGGCTCTCACAGAACATAGAGATTGTACAACCAGATTGAAAGGGGTGTGGCCAACTTAGGAAGATACCACAATGAAAAAAAAAAAAGGGGGGAGGGGAGGAGTTTCTACAGCTTAGCCTCCCCACCCCAACTGAGTAATACTGCACGGCAGACGTGATGACGTCTCCTGGGCCGGCACCCTCGCAGGACGACACCCCCACATACATTAAATAAATAAAAAGGAAAAAAATATACAAATCTGTTAATACTGACAACGTAAAACCAAACGCAGCTCAAACGGGCGCAAAAAAACACCCCGAACAGTTAAAAAAACAAAATTAGAGGGTCATGTGCTCAAAAAAAAAAAAAATTCCCTTGTAGGTGGATTACAGCAGGAGGAAACCATCACCGACCTCTTATGTCCCGCGGGGGGGGGGGGATCTCCCCTTTAAGATTCTGCTGGGTGGGCGGAGACATAAGGACTGTGGGTGCGACCCGCCTCTGGAGCGACCCTTTAGACACGGAGCCACAGCGCCGAACGACAACGCGGGGCACGGAACGACGCGGCTTTGGCAGAGGTAAGCGTGGCGGCCATCTTTGGAAGACCGATCCTTGGCTCAAACGATTGGACGGCTTTTTACATCTGTTCCTGTGAGCAAGATTAAAAGGGGGGTTTAGGCGTGGGCGAAGCCATTTTTAAATGTAGGAGGAGCCAATGTGACTACGTTTTGTGCAGCCTTATGCTGTCCGCAGTTAGCTCCACCCCCCCACCCAATCACCTGTCCTGAATCTACGGAAGTCAGGTCAGAGCCTAATAACTAGCAGTATAATGGAAAATTTACTTTTAGAAGCTATCGATGTTCCTTGGAGGTGGATCTCATAATCCATGACATGTCATGCCCCACCCACGAGGAGAATCATTAAATGGAGGTGGGGCTTTTTCCGCATGGGAGGTCAGTGACCAGTAACTAGCAGACACAAGAGAAGCTGCGTCTTTACTGTTTAGCAGCTATCAATGTTCCTTGGAGGTGGATCTCATAATCCATGCCTTGTCATGCCCCACCCATGAGGAGAATCAATAAATGGAGGAGGGGCTTTTTCTGCATGGGAGGTCAGTGACCAGTAACTAGCAGACACAATGGAAGCTGCGTCTTTACTGTTTAGTAGCTATCAATGTTTTCCCAGGAGGTGCATCTCATAATCCATGCCTTGTCAGGCCCCACCCACGAGGAGATTCAACAGAGGTGGGGCTTTTTCTGCATTCGTAACAGGATGAACGCCAAGCTACTGGCAGGTGGGAGGTCAAAGGCCACAATGGAAGTTCAGACACAATGGAAGTCGCGTCTTCACTGCTTAGCATTTGTCAATGGTTCCCAATAGGTGGATCTCATAATCAAGGATATGTCAGACTCCACCCACGAGGAGTATCATTAAATAGGGGTGGGGCTTATTTAGCATATATAAAGGCATTAAAGCCAAGCTGCTTCCAGAGCTGAACTACTGATAGGTGGGAAGTCAGACTGTAGCTAGCTGCATCTTTACTACTTAGCATCTGTCATTGTCCTCCAGGGCTGGATCTCATAATCCGTGACATCTCAGGCCCCACCCATGAGGAGAATAATTAACTGTAGGTGGGGCTCTTTTTAGCATAAGTAAAGGCATGAAAATCAAGTCACGGACAGCGGCGGGTGGGAGGTCAGAGACCAGTAACTAGTAGCCGCAACGGGAACTGTGTTTTTACAACTTAGCAGCTGTCAATGTTCCCCAGGGGTGGATCTAATGATCCATAACACGTCAGGCTCCACCCACGAGGAGAAACATCAAAAGGAAATAGGGCTGTTTTCGCATAAATGATAGCATGCAATCCTGAACCTGAAATAAAATGAGAACCTTGTAGGAAATCTGCCATTGGGTGATGATGTAGGCTGCGAAGCTTGCTCTGAAAATGCCGGCTGCCTGGCCGTCCTGCACACGATTCAGGTCAAGCACGCACAACAAATATAGAAACGATTCAGACGGTCTCTGGATTTTCTTGCCAGGTCAGTGAAGTGCTGGGCCCCCTCCCCCACACACACAGCCACACCCCCCACACAGCCAGGCGAGTAGCATTTTCAGAAGACCTAGCAGCCCTGTATTTCAATCCTCATTGGACAAAACACCCCCTTTAATCAGCATTTAATTACTGTGATCGCTCACCTTGGCCTCTTAATACTGAAGTTTAAAAAAAAAAAAAAAAAAAATCTCCTTTGGCATCTTGCCCCACCCCTGCAGAACGCTGTGGGGTTCTCGGCAGAAGTAAAGTGTAGCCTAAAGCTCCGCCCTCACAGTTTCAACACAGCATTAAAAATATTACAAGCGTTGTGATCCGAATCGCATCAACTTGGCCTTGAAATACTGAAAAAATAAAATTTCTTTTGGCGTCTTGCCCCGCCCCCGCGGAACAGTTTTTCTCGGCGTGAGTGAACCCCTAAAGCTCCGCCCCTTACAGTTTCAACGTAGCATTAAAAATGTTACAAGCACATAAACCTGATCGTGCGTCTTGACCTAAAAAAAACAACGAAAATTCCTTTGGCATCTGGCCCTGCCCCCGCGGAACACTTTGGGGTTCTCAGCAGAACGTGAACCCTAAAGCCCCGCCCCCACAGTTTTTAATGCAGCATTAAAAGACGTTTGAAGGCGTGGAGAGAGAATTCTGGTTGGGGGGCGCGCCCCCCCCCCCCCCCATTCCTGGCGCTGCGTACGCGATGGGGGAGGGTTCGGCGAGATGCGCTGGTTTTTGTGATCGATGGTGGCGTTTTCGGTTCCCAGGGGGAAGGGCTTGTGTCTCCAGCCTGTGAGTGGGCAGACAGCGAGGGTGAGAGGGCGGTGTAGGATGTTAGTGGAGCTTTTCCTGGTCTGCGCTCTGCTCCTCCCCTTTTGCGTCAGGCCGCGGGGGTCTCCAATCCCTTCATCCCATCCAGTCTTTGATGAGGACCCCTCCTCCCCTCTTCAATATATTGCACTTTCAAAACAGCAGGCGATGGAGGCGGGGCCTAGCATTCCAGTGTCGCGCCAAACGTCTTGCGGCAGTCCAAGCCTTTGGCCCCGGGGAGCAGGGCCCGCCTCTTGCGCAGTTCCTCCTTCCCCATTGAGTTTCCCAGCTTCTTGCACGCCGTCTTGTACTTGCTGTCGAACGCGGCTGTTTGAGGGACGAAAACGACATTTTAATTCCGTTTTGTTTTTTTTTTTCTTCAAATAATCGCTATTATTGGAGGGGCGGGGCAGGAAGTGCTACGGGGGGCGGGGCAGGAAGTGCTACGGGGGCGGGGCAGGAAGTGCTACGGGGGGCGGGGCACTCACCTATATCCATGTGTTCCCTCCCCAGAGCAGCAAGTGTGAGAAGTAACATCTCCCTGTAGATCCCCCTAAAGGAAGAGAGACAACAATGTATCAGTTATATCATTTACATTGTATCTGATGCTGCAGTCTCTGGTCATCTCCTGTACTATGTCCGCAGTCTCTGGTCATCTCCTGTACTGTGTCCGCAGTCTCTGGTCATCATCTCCTGTACTGTGTCCGCAGTCTCTGGTCATCTCCTGTACTGTGTCCGCAGTCTCCGGTCATCTCCTGTACTGTGTCCGCAGTCTCCGGTCATCTCCTGTACTATGTCCGCAGTCTCTGGTCATCTCCTGTACCGTGTCCGCAGTCTCTGGTCATCTCCTGTACTGTGTCCGCAGTCTCTGGTCATCTCCTGTACTGTGTCCGCAGTCTCTGGTCATCTCCTGTACTATGTCCGCAGTCTCTGGTCATCTCCTGTACTGTGTCCGCAGTCTCTGGTCATCTCCTGTACTGTGTCCGCAGTCTCTGGTCATCTCCTGTACTCTGCAGTCTCTGGTCATCTCCCTGAACCCTGGTGCTCACAGAGAGTGTTCGATCCGTACCTCTGCAGGATCTGTGGGGGAGAGTTCTGCTCCTGCAGGACGTTGAGGATCAGAGAGATGGCTTTATGGACCTCGAAGAGACCGATGAAGTTCAGGACCTTCTCCAGGAACTCCAGGGTGAAGGGGTGGGAGTGAGAGCGCCACCCCTGGAGGTGTGTGGGGAGGTTCCCTGGAAGGGAGGAACATGATCATCACTGACACACATTGACCTCGTTATCTCCGCTGATCTCCTGCAGCCTCTCCGCAGCCACTTCCTGCCTCCATACACCCCAGTGATGGCATTTGTCAGGGAGGGTCCTCTGATGGTGACAACGGTTTGTGTCTGTGTCATGTGTGTAGAAACATTTTGTAGTCTCCATCAGAACACCATGTGACAGGGTGACAACGCTTGAGGACAACTGGAAAACATGGACAGAGCGTTGTCACCCTATAACAGGAAGTGCCTGAACAAGGATCATGGCTGGTGGGAGGGGCCGGCAGGATGCTATACATTGCTTCTTGAAGACCTCACAGCACCCTCACTATTCCTCCCAAGAATCCCCTCGCAGTGGGAGGGGTTATGTAAATTTCTAAATGCTTTGATAGTTTGGAGGAGTGGGCGTTCCTAGGCAGGCTGTATTTACATAGGTAACGCCCACATGTGATGCTGGGGTGGGGCCAGGGACAGTTAGGCTGGGGAGGAGAGCACTAGATGATGCTGGATGTCCTCCAGCTAGGAAATGAGGCGGAGCTTTATCTGATCAGCTGCAGCTTCTGATGCACATTGTGAGACACTCCCAGTGTGCAGTGACATCAGAGGAAGCCGATTCATTCCAGGGGAGGAGCCGGGACACCTGCGCAAGAGTGAAGGGGAGGAGCCGGGACACCTGCGCAAGAGTGAAGGGGAGGAGCCGGGACACCTGCGCAAGAGTGAAGGGGAGGAGCCGGGACACCTGCGCAAGAGTGAAGGGGAGGAGCCGGGACACCTGCGCAAGAGTGAAGGGGAGGAGCCGGGACACCTGCGCAAGAGTGAAGGGGAGGAGCCGGGACACCTGCGCAAGAGTGAAGGGGAGGAGCCGGGACACCTGCGCAAGAGTGAAGGGGAGGAGCCGGGACACCTGCGCAAGAGTGAAGGGGAGGAGCCGGGACACCTGTGCAAGACTGGAGGGGAGGAACCGGGACACCTGTGCAAGACTGGAGGGGAGGAGCCGGTACACCTGTGCAAGACTGGAGGGGAGGAGCCAGGACACCTGTGCAAGACTGGAGGGGAGGAGCCGGGACACCTGTGCAAGACTGGAGGGGAGGAGCCGCTGCGCCTGCGCAAGAGTGAAGGGGAGGAGCCGATACGCCTGCGCAAGAGTGAAGGGGAGGAGCCGATACGCCTGTGCAAGAGTGAAGGGGAGGAGCCAGGACACCTGCGCAAGAGTGAAGGGGAGGAGCCGGTGCGCCTGCGCAAGAGTAAAGGGGAGGAGCTGATGCGCCTGCGCAAGAGTAAAGGGGAGGAGCCGATGCGGCTGCGCAAGAGTAAAGGGGAGGAGACGATGCGGCTGCGCAAGAGTAAAGGGGAGGAGCCGGTGCGCCTGCGCAAGAGTAAAGGGGAGGAGCCGGTGCGCCTGCGCAAGAGTAAAGGGGAGGAGCCGGTGCGCCTGCGCAATAGTAAAGGGGAGGAGCCGGAGCGCCTGCGCAAGAGTAAAGGGGAGGAGCCGGTGCGCCTGCGCAAGAGTAAAGGGGAAGAGCCGGTGCGCCTGCGCAAGAGTAAAGGGGAGGAGCCGGTACACTTGGAGGATGGAGGGAGGATTTCAAATTGCATTGTGTGTAATGGCTGGTATGTGGATGGAACCTGTGGCAGCAGACTCAGCCGGGTGGAGTTCGCTGCCCGTACCTGAGAATCTGGTGAACGATCGTCCCGTCCATCCCACATACTCACTGTGCAGCTTCCAGACGACGTACATAGGTGGCCAGCGGTCCGGGTCCTGCACCAGGACGTCCCATAACAGGCGCACACTCACATGGGGGTTGTCCGGGATCTGCCGGGAGGAAGGGTCACCGTCAACAACACATGACTGCCTTGTGTCTCCCCTATAACAGGGTCTTTATAGCCGGGGGCGGGAACGAGTGGCCAATCACATGACCATCCCAGTGGTCACATGTTCGGGAACCGGTCCCGCCGGCTCCTGGTCATTACTAGAGATTGGGAGCCGTCTGACAACTGGATTGCTGTACCGGGAGCACCAAAGTGGGGTGTGAAGACCCTGTTAGAGGGACGCATCCTTTAATCCTCCCAGTACAGGGACTGAGCTGTCAATGACAGATCCCAACCGCTGATGATCGGGAGCCGGCGGGACCGTCATGTATGCGGTGGGGGGAGGGGTTAAGCTTTGACATGAGTACTGACCTGTGTGGGCTGCTGGACGTGTTTGGACGCCAGGATGAGCTGCGGGAGGTTGCTGGGCAGCGCCAGGCGCTGGAAGTACCACACCAGGTTCCAGTAGATGATGGGGTGACTGTTCACCAGTTCCGGCTGAGACAGGAAGTCGCTCCCTTCGTTCTCCAGCAGGCTCTCCACCTCCTTCCGGAGCACCAAAGGGCAGAGGTACGCCACCGTCACCATCTCCGAATCCGCCTCCCGGGGACGCTGCTGGGGGGTGATCAGACTGTACATTGTAACATTGTAGAAGGGGGAGGAGTCATTTCCTCAGTCTTCCCTCCCCCGTGATCAGACTGTACATTGTAACATTGTAGAAGGGGGAGGAGTCATTTCCTCAGTCTTCCCTCCCCCGGTGATTGTAACAGTACTGTACATTCCCCCTCCCCCAGTAACATTGTAACATGTAGAAGGAGGAGGAGTCATTTCCTCAGTCTCCTCCCCCAGTGATCAGACTGTACATTGTAACTTTGTAAAAGGGGGAGGAGTCATTTCCTCAGTCTCCCCTCCCCCAGTGATCAGACTGTACATTGTAACATTGTAGAAGGGGGAGGAGTCATTTCCTGAATCTTCTCCCCCAGCGATCAGCCATCCTCTCTCCTGTCAGCCATGAAGGGGTAACACTACAACCCGGATCATTTCCCTCTCGGAACGTTACCTGGACTCTGGGGAACCCGTTACAATGCCGGCTTGACTCCGCCTCATCCAGAACCAAACACTGGTACCGGTCGCTCAGGACGGGTCCGCGGCTCGCTGCGCCGCCATCAGTGGAGACCTCGGAGGAACCATCAGACGTACTGCGGGGAGTAGAGGAGACACAAGGAACCTGAATATATCGGGAAGAGTCGTCCTCCCTTCTGGTGTTGGGGAATCTCTCCTGGATTGTCCACATCTCTGAACTGCTGTACTGGGCCCTGGTGGGGGATGGGGGGAAGGCCACACCCCTACAGGGTCCGGGCCCTTTTCGGGGGTGAGGAGCAAGGTGCAGTCCCAGGTAAGCTGGGGTAGCTCCCTGCCCTTGTGCGTGTTGCAGCCCTCTGCAGTGTATGGGGAGACACCATGGATGGGGTACTTATGGGGAAACATGTTAGGGCTGGATCCAGGGGGGTGCTGGGGTGCGGTGTCCCCCCCACAGATTTTGAACTTGCCCCCCCAGAACCAGTGGCATCAGCAGGGCAGTCCCTATAATGAGGCACTGAGGTCCAGTCCAACCACCATGGAAGCCCAGCCCAACCACCATCGAAGTCCGGCCCAACCACCATGGAAGCCCAACCCAACCACCATAGAAGCCCGGCCCAACCACCATAGAAGCCCGGCCCAACCACCATAGAAGCCCGGCCCAACCACCATAGAAGCCCGGCCCAACCACCATAGAAGCCCGGCCCAACCACCATAGAAGCCAAGCCTAACCACCATAGAAGCCCAACCCAACCACCACGGAGGCCCAGCCCAACCACCATAGAAGCCAAGCCCCCACAACCATGGAGGCCCAGCCCAGCAACCAACATGGAGCCCAGCCCAACAACCATGGAGGCCAAACAACCATGGAGGCCCAGCTCAACAACCATAGAAGCCAAGCCCAACCACCATAGAAGCCCAACCCAACCACGGAAGCCAACCCAACACCATGGAAGCCCAACCAACCACCATGGAGGCCCAGCCCAACCAACATAGAAGCCCCCCAGCCCAAATCAGCACCATGGGCACTGAGGCCCAGCTCAACAACCATAGAAGCCAAGCCCAACCACCATAGAAGCCCAACCCAACCACCACAGAAGCTCAACCCAACACACATGGAAGCTAAACCCAGAAGCCACCCATGGAAGCCCAGCCCAACACCACGGAGGCCCAACCACCATGGCCCAGCCCAACCCAAGCACCACGGAGGCCCAGCCCAAGCACCACAGAGGCCCAGCCCAAGCACCACAGAGCCCAGCCCAATCACCACAGAAGCCCAGCCCAACACGGAGGCCCAGCCCAAGCCCACCAACCAGAGGCCCAGCCCAAGCACCACAGAGGCCCAGAAGCACCACAGAGGCCCAGCCCAAGCACCACAGAGGCCCAGCCCAAGCACCACGGAGGCCCAGCCCAACCACCACGGAGGCCCAGCCCAACCACCACGGAGGCCCAGCCCAACCACCACGGAGGCCCAGCCCAACCACCACGGAGGCCCAGCCCAACCACCACGGAGGCCCAGCCCAACCACCACGGAGGCTCAACCACCACGGAGGCCTAGCCCAACCACCCTGGTGCACATAGCTGATACTTTGCACCTCCAGATCAAACAGGCCCCATGATTACTTATGGTGGCCCTTCAGCTGTACCCTCTGCCCTTACCTCCGCTCTCTCTGCAGGTCCGTGATCTTGACATTGAGGAACGGTACGAAGTGCTGCCCGCAGAACGAACACACGGTCTTCAGGTTGGAGTCGTCAGACGTCCAGGCAGCCATGATGTCCTCGTCGTAAACAAGGGAGTGACAGGCCGGACAGGCGGAGCAGCTGGACAGCATGACCTGGAAGATGAACAGAATCCTATTTATCGGTGGTCAGGAAAATACCCTCAAAATTCAAAGGCTGGTGACATTACACAGCCGAATTAAAGAGCACCTGTCTTGCAACTTACTTCCACTGCAGGAGATTCCTGGCCTCCATCAAGCAAGCGGTCGGTAGATCGGTGGATGGCAAAATCTGTCAGGTCCACTTCACTTCCCAAGGACACGGAGCTCTACAGAGGGCGGAGTTTAAGAGAAGACTTTTAAAATCACGCCTCCCGAACACGCTTATTTTTTGATTCTAACTATTGATGACTTGGTATGAGCCTCTTCTAACTTCCTGAACAGAACCAAGCCTAGGAGATGACGGGCCGCTACTTGGGACCAATCAAAACTCTACTGCATGAACATGCTGACAGGGGAAGAGAGCAGAGAGATGACCTCACTGGTCTGCTGGTGCTCCTTCACTTTCCAATCACAGGCCGAAGGCGAGGAGGTGGCCAAGCCATACCATTGATAACACTGAATGTTCTCCATCCTGTGATCCCACCAAAGTAGTTCCTCCATTCCTTTGGACAGAACGGAGGAGTTTCGGTCTATAGGTTCCATACATCACACACAGGACCTCACCTCAGAAGCGATGGACTCGGGTCTTCTGGTACTCTCCTTTTGGCTCCTCCAACTATGACGATGCTCTGCCAATGCCAACGGTGATGGGGCCTCTCCCAACTGTCCGCTCCTCTTGAAGATGGAGGACCTGGAAGGCTTTCTGGAGGGCGTTAGCAGCTGCTGGATCTTCCCAGCCAGACTCCGCCTCCTGGAAGGGTCTCTGGAGTGGGTGGATCCCTCGTCCTCGCTGCGGCTCTGATTGGTCAGGGCTTCTGAGGAACTTTCGGTCATAATGAGCTCGGACTCCTCTGAGGTCACAGTCTCGCTGCCCGTCCCGTCCGTCAGGTAACTGACGTTCGACAAGCTCCCGTTTTCCGAGGGTTGGAGTATGAGGGGCGTCCCGCAGGTCCTCCTAATGGATGATCTTAGTGAGGGGCTAATGTCCGACCTTGTAGTGACCCTCTCTACTTCCAGATCCTCCATCACTGAGAAAGAAAAGAGAAAGTGGACATATTTTAGGGATGCTGAGAAGAGAAAATAGATGGGAGGTTGGAGACTGGGTTATCGAAACATCTTCCAGCAACGATGGACTGGACAGTCCTGTCTGCACTGGGAGGCTATGTTGTTGAAGAGATCGCTGTGATAGGCTCCAGTGTCCTTCAACTTGTAAGAACATATATTTCTAATGGAACCAAACTCTTCCATAACCTAACCTCCTAAACCCAAACTGAACATGTAGGGACCAGCCAGAGCTTGGTTTACAGTAGGTTTTCTGTGCTCGCTAAGTATCTCCAAAACTCAGGCCATGGATTATCTCCACCTGCCATTGGGTTGTCTCCGTTAGTTAGTATGAGAAGTAACAATTGGGGTATCGGGTTATGAATAATTATCTGCCTTAGCCAATCACTGAAGGGCTTGTTCCAGAGATAAGAGCTGAGGGGAGAGGATACATATTTGGTGCAACCGTCTTGATGGGTCTTGTCCTTCCATCTCTGGCTTTTAACTCATGAGGATGACACTGTGAGAAAGGCTCTTCTTCTTCGGACCTGGCTCTAGCTGGGGCCTCTCCCAAGGCCTAAGAAATCTACTCTGGAAAATGACTACCTGCAGGCAGCATCTCTAATAGACACAGGAAGGTGGCTACCCAGAGGGAACATCTTCAGAGGAACTAGAAGAGGAAGGTGGCTACCCGGAGGGAATGTCTTCAGAGGAACTAGAAGAGGAAGATGGATACCCAGAGGGAACATCTTCAGAGGAACTAGAAGAGGAAGGTGGCTACCCAGAGAGAACGTCTTCATAGAAACTAGAAGAGGAAGGTGGCTACCCAGAAGGAACATCTTCAGAGAAACTAGAACAGGAAGTTGGCTACCCAGAGGGAACATCTTCAGAGAAACTAGAAAAGGAAGGTGGCTACCCAGAAGCAACGTCTTCAGAGAAACTAGAAGAGGAAGGTGGTTACCCAGAGGGAGAGGAATTAGAAGAGGAAGGTGGCATCTTCAGAGGAACTAGAAGAGGAAGGTGGCTACCCAGAGGGAATGTCTTCAGAGGAACTAGAAGAGGAGGTGGCTACCCAGAGGGAAATCTGGCTACCCAGAGGAACATCTTCAGAGAAACAGAACAGAAAGGGCTAGGTGGCTGGCTACCCAGAGGGAAAGTCCAGAAAAGGAAGGGAAGAAGGAACATCTTCAGAGAATTAGAAGAGGAAGGTGGCTACCCAGACCCTTCAGAGGAACCCATCTTCAGAGAATTAGAAGAGGAAGGTGGCTACCCAGACCTTCAGAGGGAACAGGAAGTCTTCAGGTGGCTAAACCATATTGAATGAAAGGAAGGTGGCTACCCAGAGGGAAAAAAAAAATAGAACATCTTCAGAGAAACTAGAACAGGAAGGTGGCTACCCAGAGGGAACATCTTCAGAGAAACTAGAAAAAGGACGGTGGCTACCCATAGGAATGCCTTCAGAGAAACTAGAAGAGGAAGGTAGCTACCCACAGGGAATGTCTTCAGAGAAACTAGGAAAGGAGGGTGGTTATCCAGAGGGAATGTCTTCAGAGGAATTAGAATAGGAAGGTGGCTACCCAGAGGGAACGTAGAATAGCTGGCTACCCAGAGGGAACATCTTCAGAGGAACTAGAAGAGGAAGGTGGCTTCACCCAGAGGGAACATCTTCAGAGGAACTAGAGAGGAAGGTGGCTACCCAGAGGGAACTCTTCAGAGAAACTAGAAGAGGAAGGTGGCTACCCAGAGGGAATGTCTTCAGAGGAACTAGAAGAGAAGGTGGCTAAGGTGGCTACCCAGAGGGAATGTCTTCAGAGAAACAGAGAAGAGGAAGGTGGCTACCCAGAGGAACATCTTCAGAGAAACAGAAACAGGAAGTTGGCTACCCAGAGGGAACGTCTTCAGAGAAACTAGAAAGGAAGGTGGCTAGAAAAGGAAGGTGGCTACCCAGAGGAACATCTTCAGAGAAACAGAACAGGAAGGTGGCTACCCAGAGGGAACATCTTCAGAGAAACTAGAACAAGGAAGTTGGCTACCCAGAGGGAAACATCTTCAGAGAAACTAGTAGAGGAAGGTGGCTACTCAGAGGGAAAATCTTCAGAGAAACTAGAACAGGAAGGTGGCTACCCAGAGGGAACATCTTCAGAGAAACTAGAACAGGAAGGTGGCTACCCAGAGGGAACCCTCAGAGGAACTAGAAAAGGAAGGTGGCTACCCAGAGGGAAAGTCTTCAGAGAAACTAGAAAAGGAAGGTGGCTACCCAGAAGGAACATCTTCAGAGAAACAGAACAGGAAGTTGGCTACGCAGAGGGAACATCTTCAAAGGAACTAGGTGGCTACCCAGAGGGAACATCTTCAGAGAAACTAGAAGAGGAAGGTGGCTACCCAGAGGGAACATCTTCAGAGAACAGAACAGGAAGGTGGCTACCCAGAGGAAACATCTTCAGAGGAATTAGAAGAGGAAGGTGGCTACCCAGAGGGAACATCTTCAGAGGAATTAGAAGAGGAAGGTGGCTACCCAGAGGGAACGTCTTCATAGAAACTAGAAGAGGAAGGTGGCTACCCAGAGGGAACATCTTCAGAGGAGAGGGAAGAGGAAGGTGGTTACCCAGAGGGAATGTCTTCAGAGGGAACGTCTTCATAAAACTAGAAGAGGAAGGTGGCTACCCAGAGGGAATGTCTTCAGAGAAACTAGAAGAGAAGTGGCTACCCAGAGGGAACGTCTTCAGAGAAACTAGAAGAGGAAGGTGGCTACCCAGAGGGAACATCTTCAGAGGAATAGAAGAGGAAGTGGCTACCCAGAGGGAATGTCTTCAGAGGAACTAGAAGAGGAAGGTGGCTACCCAGAGGGAACATCTTCAGAGAAACTAGAAAGAGGAAGGTGGCTACCCACCCAGAGGGAAGAAACAAAACAGGAAGTTCTTCAGAGGGAACGTCTTCAGAGAAACTAGAAAAGGAAGGTGGCTACCCAGAGGGAACTTCAGAGAAACTAGAAAAGAAGGTGGCTAAGAGGGAATGTCTTCAAAGGAACTAGAACAAGAAGTTGGCTACCCAGAGGAAACATCTTCAGAGAAACTAGTAGAGGAAGGTGGCTACCAGAGGGAAAATCTTCAGAGAAACTAGAACAGGAAGGTGGCTACCCAGAGGGAACATCTTCAGAGGAATTAGAAGAGGAAGGTGGCTACCCAGAGGGAACATCTTCAGAGGAATTAGAACAGGAAGGTGGCTACCCAGAGGGAACATCTTCAGAGGAATTAGAAGAGGAAGGTGGCTACCCAGAAGGAACATCTTCAGAGAAACAGAACAGGAAGTGGCTACCCAGAGGGAACATCTTCAGAGAAACTAGAAAAGGAAGGTGGCTACCCAGAAGCAACGTCTTCAGAGAGAAAAAGGTGGTTACCCAGAGGAAGAGGAATTAAAGAAGAGGAAGGTGGCTACCCAGAGGGAACATCTTGTCTTCAGAGGAACTAGAAGAGGAAGGTGGCTACCCAGAGGGAATGTCTTCAGAGAAACTAGAAGAGGAAGGCTACCAGAGGGAAATGAGAAACAGAACAGAAAGTCAGAGAACAGGAAGGTGGCTACCCAGAGGGAACATCTTCAGAGGAATTGAATGTCAGAGGAAACTAGAAGAGGAAGGTTCAGAGAAACTAGAGAAGAAAAAGAAAGGTGGCTAGAAGAGGAAGGTGGCTACCCAGAGGGAACATCTTCAGAGGAATTAGAAGAGGAAGGTGGCTACCCAGAGGAATCTTCAGAGGAATTAGAAGAGGAAGGTGGCTACCCAGGGAACATCTTCAGGGAATTAGAACAGGAAGGTGGCTCCCAGAGGGAATTCAGAGAAAAGGAAGGTGGCTAACCATAGAATGCCTTCAGAAAACTAGGTGGCTACCCAGAGGGAACGTCAGAAAGGTTATCAGAGGAGCCTTCAAAGAAACTAGAACAGGGTGGCTACCCAGAGGGAATGTCTTCAGAGGAATTACAAGAGGAAGGTGACTACCCAGAGGGAACATCTTCAGAGGAATTAGAAGAGGAAGGTGGCTACCCAGAAGGAATGTCTTCAGAGAACCTAGAAGAGGAAGGTGGCTACCCAGAGGGAATGTCTTCAGAGAACCTAGAAGAGGAAGGTGGCTACCTTTACAGCACCTCTGCTTAAATGGTCTTTTCTAAAAGAGCCAACCAATATTAAAGGGCTGCTACTAGAGAGCCATGTACTATTAGAAGATCGTTTTCGGCTTTGCTGCTACTAGAGGGCCTGGTTTATGTTGCTCTATTTCGGTTTCCTGTGCCCCTCACCCTACCTCCACGAGTTTATTGAGTGAACAAACTATTGAAAGGTTGAGTGACTGGCGCACAACAACTTTACAACAAGCCAAGGACCCACCCAGTGGTGTTGAATGCTAGCCTGCCCCGCTGCTTTGGGGGTCATCCTACACTGTCCAGGATGCTACAGGCAGATCAATAAAGCGGACAGAGACGTGTTGACTTACTGTGCGTCACTCCCATTTCCAGCATGCAGGCATCGCTCTGGGTACAGCTGACGCTCCAACTCTTAACCAGCTTCCCCGACGAGCCGTCTTCAGACACCCGGCTAGTGTGCCCGGCCCAGGTGGTCTGCCGCAGAAGGTGGAGCTGAGGAGAGAGCTCCACGGTGGCGCTTTTGACCTTCCATTGATCTGTGAAGACAGGAGCAATTTATAATCAGAGCTGCTCATAAAAGAGCCGCACAGTCCATATTAGACCCAGAACATGCAACATATTTTCTGGTGCACGCATTACCTGTGCAATCTGCTGATCGCTCTATTGGAGTGTAATCAAGCAACTCATCAGCAGATTGCACAGCTAAAGTCAGCAGTACCTTGTGGCCAGCAGGGAGGACCATGCATGTCTAAAGGGATGCCTGGGATGTGTTCTTTATAGAATGCCTACTGGCCCCTCTCACCAAACTCAATCTTACTACAGACCACCAGAAAGACCCAGCGATGATGTCACTGGGTCTCAAAAGACATGTTTCTGGAAAACTAAATGTTTTGAACCTGAAAGTTGATCGAAGTGGGGGGGGGGGGGGGGGGTTGCAAATTTGGGCTAAAGAACAGCCTTGGACCTCTCTCACCGTTCGACCTGCTGGCTGACGGTTCCTCGCTTTGCGTCACAGACTGGGAGCTGGGATGCCTCTGCCGCAGCGGCTGACGGAACTGGGCGGCCCCCAGAACCACATTCCTCAGCTTGGCCCAGCGTAGTCTTCCGCTCTGGCTGCTGGACGGCCATTTGCTTTCCAGCACAGCCTGTGACAGACGGAGAAGATTTAGTGACAACCCAGCAGGAGGAAATGTTTGTAGAGACGCAGCTCTGCGCACGTTACCTTGTTATAGTAACCGTAGGTGATGGCGTTGGGGACGATCCCCGCTTTCCGCATCTCCAGCATCACGCGCACGGCCAACACCGGCTCCCCGTACTGACCGCACAGCTGCATCAGGATCCGGTAACAGACCTGGAGGGAAGGAGATCGGTCAGGGAAGGAGATCGGTCCAGGAAAGGAGATCGGTCCAGGAAAGGAGATCGGTCCAGGAAAGGAGATCGGTCCAGGAAAGGAGATCGGTCCAGGAAAGGAGATCGGTCCAGGAAAGGAGATCGGTCCAGGAAAGGAGATCGGTCCAGGAAAGGAGATCGGTCCGGGAAGGAGATCGGTCCGGGAAGGAGATCGGTCAGGGAAGGAGACCGGTCAGGGAAGGAGACCGGTCAGTGAAGGAGACCGGTCAGGGAAGGAGAGCGGTCAGGGAAGGAGAGCGGTCAGGGAAGGAGAGCGGTCAGGGAAGGAGACCGGTCAGTGAAGGAGACCGGTCAGTGAAGGAGACCGGTCAGTGAAGGAGACCGGTCAGTGAAGGAGATCGGTCAGGGAAGGAGACCGGTCAGGGAAGGAGACCGGTCAGTGAAGGAGACCGGTCAGGGAAGGAGATCGGTCCAGGGAAGGAGATCGGTCCAGGAAAGGAGATCGGTCAAGGAAAGGAGATCGGTCAGGGAAGGAGACCGGTCAGGGAAGGAGACCGGTCAGGGAAGGAGATCGGTCAGGGAAGGAGATCGGTCAGGGAAGGAGATCGGTCAGGGAAGGAGATCGGTCAGGGAAGGAGATCGGTCAGGGAAGGAGATCGGTCAGGGAAGGAGACCGGTCAGGAAGGAGACCGGTCAGGGAAGGAAGGAGACCGGTCAGGGAAGGAGACGGGTCAGGGAAGGAGAGCGGTCAGGGAAGGAGACGGGTCAGGGAAGGAGACGGGTCAGGGAAGGAGATCGGTCAGGGAAGGAGATCGGTCAGGGAAGGAGATCGGTCAGGGAAGGAGATCGGTCAGGAATCGTCCGGCCGCGGTAAAAGGTCAAAAGAAGGAAAAATCAAGTAAATCAACAAAAAACAAATGGCTGCATTGGGTGTTGGTGCGTCACGTCGTTGTACATGGAGCGGGCGGCGGGAGGAAGTTGTGCGCGACGGTTTTTTCATGTGACAAGATTATGTTGTTCAGCACTCACCTGTTCTGCGATCCGGGGCCCAGTCCCCTGCCAAGCATTGCGCCTAATCTCAGCCCCCGGTGCACTCCAGGAACCCCGGCGCTCCTGTGTCTCCAGAAACCTTGTACCCCCTGATCACTCCAGTGACCCCAGTGCTCCTCTGCCTCCAGTGACTCTGTACCCCTGATCACTCCAGTGACCCCAGTGCTCCTCTGCCTCCAGTGACTCTGTACCCCCTGATCACTCCAGTGACCCCAGTGCTCCTCTGCCTCCAGTGACTCTGTACCCCCTGATCACTCCAGTGACCCCAGTGCTCCTCTGCCTCCAGTGACTCTGTACCCCCTGATCACTCCAGTGACCCCGGCGCTCCTCTGCCTCCAGTGACTCTGTACCCCCTGATCACTCCAGTGACCCCAGTGCTCCTCTGCCTCCAGTGACTCTGTACCCCCTGATCACTCCAGTGACCCCAGTGCTCCTCTGCCTCCAGTGACTCTGTACCCCCTGATCACTCCAGTGACCCCAGTGCTCCTCTGCCTCCAGTGACTCTGTACCCCCTGATCACTCCAGTGACCCCAGTGTTCCTCTGCCTCCAGCGACTCTGTACCCCCTGATCACTCCAGTGACCCCAGTGCTCCTCTGCCTCCAGTGACTCTGTAACCCCTGTGCACTCCAGTGACCCCAGTGACTCTGTGCCCCGTTCACTCCAGTCACCCCAGCTCTCCTCTGCCTCCAGTGACTCTGTACCCCGTTCACTCCAGTGACCCCAGTGTTCCTCTGCCTCCAGCGACTCTGTACCCCCTGATCACTCCAGTGACCCCAGTGTTCCTCTGCCTCCAGCGACTCTGTACCCCCTGATCACTCCAGTGACCCCAGTGTTCCTCTGCCTCCAGCGACTCTGTACCCCGTTCACTCCAGTGACCCCAGTGTTCCTCTGCCTCCAGCGACTCTGTACCCCCTGATCACTCCAGTGACCCCAGTGCTCCTCTGCCTCCAGCGACTCTGTAACCCCTGTGCACTCCAGTGACCCCAGTGCTCCCCTGCGTCCAGTGACTCTTTACCCCCTGTTCACTCGAGTGACCCCAGTGCTCCTCTGCCTCCAGTAACTCTGTACCAGGGGCAGACTGACCATTTGGAAACTCGGGCACTGCTCGAGGGCCCGGGGTCAGTAGGGGGCCCCATGAGATGCCCCTGGTACCTTTTTCATAAGCTTTTTTGAGTTTGGGCAAGGACACAGGGGCCCCATGATCCCCTATTGCCCGGGGGCCCCAGGAGTTGTCAGTCCGCCCCTGCTCTGTACCCCGTTCACTCCAGTGACTGCAGTGCTCCTCTGCCTCCAGCGACTCTGTATCCTTTGTGCACTTCAGTGACCCCAAAGCTCTAGTGCTTCAAGCAACACTGTACCCCCATACACACCAGTGACCCCAGTGGCCCCAACTCTCCTCTGCACTCTGTGTCCTGTGCCTTCAGTGGCCCCAAGGATCCCCTTGATGACCCCAGTGGCCCCCAGCACTGTGCCTTCAGGATCCCCTTGATGATGAGAATGACACAACAGTGATTGATATAAGCATTCTCGGGGTACAGCGATGGGGTCTCACGTCACCCCAACTCTCTTTCTAAAGTATGTTAAATGTGTGAATTGTGGATAACGGAGGAACATCATCAGTGGGGAGTCGGAGTATTTGAGTCTTTGAATGAATGCGGCTCACCTCGTCCGGGAGGACCACGTTCTTCGTCTCCATCTGTTTCAGAGCATCGTAGGCGGTCTGCAGAGCTCGCACCTTGGAAGCGGTGGCCCTGACGAAGGTGGGCAGATAGATGAACCACAAGCCGTAGCAATGCCCCAGAAGACACTTGGCCCACATCTCCGGTATGGAAGAATAGATATGGGCCACCCGCTGGGCAGACTTGATCTCCTGCCAGGCAGAGAATTTTAGTCACTTATACACTTCTTTAAAATACATTCATTTTATTTCCAGCCCGTGTTACAACCAGAACTCTGTGTTTAGACCTAAACCACCAGCTGAAAGCTGAAATCAGGCTTGCAGTGATAAGCCAATGGGCATGATGGAAAAGGTACTTAAAGTGAGTCTATAAGGGATGAAGAGCTCCAGGTGGGTGATAGAGCCATGCCGTCCAAAGAGCAGGCAGGGAACAAGATGATGGGATAGACTTAGCAAGGTTCTGGAAAGTGTTGTCACCCTCCTGATTCAGCCACACGGTGGGGGATGAGGAATAACAAGCGCATTCCCTTGACAAACGTTATAAACCAAAGATTGGTCCTTCACCTACTTGTTTGGTTCGCCGAGGTGCAGGGCTGCTAGGGGCGCTAGTTTTTGACTGGGTAGGGGGCGCCATCAGCAGATCTTGTGGAAGCTCAAACAGGTCTCTCTGGAGAACTGGGAAGGTTTCATACCTGGAGTGGAGAAAGGACATTGATGAAGTTAAAGAGGCACTCCAACCAAAAACCTGGGTGGAGCCCCTGTCTGATCTTGGTAGATCTCCCTCAATGTCTTCAGTGCTCTTCTATCTCCCAGTGACCCCTGTATCCCCCGGTGTGCCCCAGTATGTCCTCTGTCATCTAGTGATTCCAAGTGCCCCGCGCTGTGCCCCATGACTCCAAGTACACTCCAGAGCAACCGGCATCATTCAGTGACTCCAGTGTGCCCAGTGTACCCTGTGGCTCCAATGCGCCTATTACACCCAGTGATTCCTGTGTCACCCAATGACCCTAGTGCATCCCCCATGTACCCTGTGGCTCCAGTGCACCCACTGACACCAATGTGCCTAGTACAAACAAGTGTTTCCTGTGTCATCCAGTGACCCTAGTGCACCCAATGACTTTAGTGCACCCACTGGCTCAAATACACCCAGTGCACCCACTGACTCCAATGTGCACAGTGTGCCCAGTGGCTCCAGTGCGCCCAATGACTTTAGTGCACCCACTGACTCCAATGTGCCCAGTGGCTCCAGTGCGCCCAATGACTTTAGTGCACCCACTGGCTCAAATACACCCAGTGCACCTACTGACTCCAATGTGCCCACTGCACCACACTGACTCCAATGCTCTTAGTAGACCCAGTGAGTCCTGTGTCATCTAGTGACCCTGGTGCATCCCAGTGTACCCTGTGACTTTACGCACCCACTGACTGCAATGTGCTCTATGTACACAGTGGCTCCAATGTGCCCAATGACTCCATTGCTCCTAGGACACCCAGTAACCCCAGTGTACCCAAAACAATCCTGTGTCATCTAGTGACCCCACTGTACCCATGTGCCAAGTAACCCCAGCGTATCCAAAACAATCCTGTGTCATCTGGTGACCCCACTTTCCCCCTGTGTGCCCAGTAACCCCAGTGTACCCAAAACAATCCTGTGTCATCTGGTGACTCCTAGTGCATCTTCATAAAACCCCGTGCCTTCACCATCAGTATCAGCTGCTGCCTCTCTACCCTCAGGTACGTTCCCCGAAGTTACCCAGACTGCCCTTCTTCCTGTGGACCCTGCCTGTGACAACAAAGAGGGCACCAAGTTGGCGAAAGAAAAGCTTACTTGTACTGGGCTGGTAGCTCTATGCCATGGGGGTCCTGTGGTTCCTCGGCAGGCATGATAAAAACGGTATGTTCACTGCGGTGAGATTCGTCCAGCTCTACAAGATGCAGATCTTCCATCTTCTCCCCATCTACCTGCACCTAGAATACAAGGTACAACTCATATCCTGGCCTGAGGTGGGTTCACACATCTAGGGAGAGGAAGACGTGGCGGCGTGTCTTTACCTTCTCCACGCAGTTATCGAAAAACTCCAGAGACGCATGCCGCTCATTAACGAAGGAGCAGTCTTCGATAAACTGCGTGAACATCTGAGTCTTCACCAGCTGCGAGTAGAATTTTTGGTGGGCTCGGTCCCTGGACTTCTTGAAACCTGGAAAGAAAATTATTCTCTAAACCTTTTCACTTCTGGACTCCTCCTCTCCTCATCCATGTCCACTAAAACTTCAACTATCTCCCTTACCTAGCTCATTCTCCTCCATGTGTCTACAGGCCCCACTTACTACAGCTTGTCCATTGTTGTTCCCAAGAACCAGCTTGTTGGTGCATCTATTCTATACAAGGTTCCATCAGTCCCTCAGATGACCAATATTTCTCTCTTCATCCAGAAACTCTCCATGTCTTAGGGTAGAGGATTAGGGATTGAGTTCGAAGGTAGGGGGTATGGGCAAGAAGTCTATGTGTCAAGAAAGTTCCACTGTAGGCTTCTTCTACTTCTGCATCCACCCAGCATCAGGAGAAGGCTTCCAACAGTTGTGAACATCAAACACTTCAATTCTCAGAAGAGGTGGGGGTAAAACCACCCAATGTAAAAGCCGAGGGTAAATTTACTGAAGCAAATCAATGCACAGAGCAGTCCGAGAGGTGCAACCAACTCCAACGCGTTTCACTTCTAACTGGAGCTTAATCGTAGAGTTGGTTGCACCTGGAGGACTTGATTTCCTTCAACAAACCTAACCTTGGCTTTTATGGTGACTGGCTTTTTTTCCCCCCTTTTTCTTCTGAGGACTGAGGTGTTAGAAGTCTCTATGTTGGTCAGGCCACTTCTCAAGACCACAATTCTTACCAGGTTCACCAGCCAATTATTTTGACCAGATCATACCATCCACCCGTCCTTCATGAGATGACAACTCTAGCTTTGTTCCCCAGGCAAAGAAAATCATCATCTGCCAAGTCTTTACTGATTCTCTCGAAGTTTCCACTTCTATTATCTTCTCCTAATGCTTGTCCACTTGGATTTCATCTGTAAGTCCTACCCAACCCAGTCTGTCCATCTGTCCACCACCCAGGTTTTCAGTCTTGTCCACCTGGATTTCATCTGTAAGTACTACCCAACCCAGCCTGTCCGTGTGTCCACCACCCAGGTTTTCAGTCTGGTCCACCTGGATTTCATCTGTAAGTCCCACTCAACCCAGCCTGTCCGTGTGTCCACCACCCAGGTTTTCAGTCTGGTCCACCTGGATTTCATCTGTAAGTACTACCCAACCCAGTCTGTCCATCACCCAGGTTTTCAGTCTTGTCCACCTGGATTTCATCTGTAAGTACTACCCAACCCAGCCTGTCCATGTGTCCACCACCCAGGTTTTTCAGTCTTGTCCACCTGGATTTCATCTGTAAGTCCTACCCAATCCAACCTGTCCGTATGTCCACCACCCAGGTTTTCAGTCTTGTCCACCTGGATTTCATCTCTAACTCCCACTCAACCCAGCCTGTCCGTGTGTCCACCACCCAGGTTTTCAGTCTTGTCCACCTGGATTTCATCTGTAAGTCCTACCCAACCCAGCCTGTCCGTGTATCCACCACCCAGGTTTTCAGTCTTGTCCACCTGGATTTCATCTGTAAGTCCCCCCCAACCCAGCCTGTCCATGTTTCCACCACCCAGGTTTTCAGTCTTGTCCACCTGGATTTCATCTGTAAGTCCTACCCAACCCAGCCTATCCGCGTGTCCACCATCCAGGTTTTCAGTCTTGTCCACCTGGATTTCATCTGTAAGTCCTACCCAACCCAGCCTGTCCATGTGTCCACCACCCAGGTTTTCAGTCTTGTCCACCTGGATTTCATCTGTAAGTCTACCCAATCCAACCTGTCCGTATGTCCACCACTCAGGTTTTCAGTCTTGTCCACCTGGATTTCATCTCTAACTCCCACTCAACCCAGCCTGTCCGTGTGTCCACCACCCAGGTTTTCAGTCTTGTCCACCTGGATTTCATCAGTAAGTCCCACCCAACCCAGCCTGTCCATGTGTCCACCACCCGGGTTTTCAGTCTTGTCCACCTGGATTTCATCTGTACGTCCTACCCAACCCAGCCTGACCATGTGTCCACCACCCGGTTTTCAGTCTTGTCCACCTGGATTTCATCTGTAAGTCCTTCCCAACCCAGCCTGTCCATGTATCCACCACCCAGGTTTCCAGTCTTGTCCACCTGGATTTCATCTGTAAGTCCTACCCAACCCAGCCTGTCCATGTGTCCACCACCCAGGTTTTCAGTCTTGTCCACCTGGATTTCATCTGTAAGTCCTACCCAACCCAGCCTGTCCGTGTGTCCGCCACCCAGGTTTTCAGTCTTGTCCACCTGGATTTCATCTCTAACTCCCACTCAACCCAGCCTGTCCGTGTGTCCACCACCCAGGTTTTCAGTCTTGTCCACCTGGATTTCATCTCTAACTCCCACTCAACCCAGCCTGTCCGTGTGTCCACCACCCAGGTTTTCAGTCTTGTCCACCTGGATTTCATCTGTAAGTCCCCACCCAACCCAGCCTGTCCGTGTGTCCACCACCCCCGGTTTTCAGTCTTGTCCACCTGGATTTCATCTGTACGTCCTACCCAACCCAGCCTGACCATGTGTCCACCACCCGGGTTTTCAGTCTTGTCCACCTGGATTTCATCTCTAACTCCCACTCAACCCAGCCTGTCCGTGTATCCACCACCCCCGGTTTTCAGTCTTGTCCACCTGGATTTCATCTGTAAGTCCTACACAACCCCCAGCCTGTTTCGTGTGTACACACCCAGGTTTTCAGTCTTGTCCACCTGGATTTCATCTGTAAGTCCCCCCCAACCCAGCCTGTCCATGTTTCCACCACCCAGGTTTTCAGCCTTGTCCAGCTGGATTTCATCTGTAAGTCCTACCCAACCCAGCCTATCCGTGTGTCCACCACCCAGGTTTTCAGTCTTGTCCACCTGGATTTCATCTGTAAGTCCTACCCAACCCAGCCTGTCCGCATGTCCACCATCCAGGTTTTCAGTCTTGTCCACCTGGATTTCATCTCTAACTCCCACTCAACCCAGCCTGTCCGTGTGTCCACCACCCAGGTTTTCAGTCTTGTCCACCTGGATTTCATCTCTAACTCCCACTCAACCCAGCCTGTCCGTGTGTCCACCACCCAGGTTTTCAGTCTTGTCCACCTGGATTTCATCAGTAAGTCCTACACAACCCAGCCTGTTCGTGTGTCCACCACCCGGGTTTTCAGTCTTGTCCACCTGGATTTCATCTGTAAGTCCTTCCCAACCCAGCCTGTCCATGTATCCACCACCCAGGTTTTCAGTCTTGTCCACCTGGATTTCATCTGTAAGTCCTACCCAACCCAGCCTGTCCATGTGTCCACCACCCAGGTTTTCAGTCTTGTCCATCTGGATTTTATCTGTAAGTCCCACCCAACCCAGCCTGTCCGTGTATCCACCACCCAGGTTTTCAGTCTTGTCCACCTGGATTTCATCTGTAAGTCCTTCCCAACCCAGCCTGCCCGCCTGTCCACCACCCAGGTTTTCAGTCTTGTCCATTTGGATTTCATCCGTAAGTCCTACCCAACCCAGCCTGTTCGAGTGTACACACCCAGGTTTTCAGTCTTGTCCACCTGGATTTCATCTGTAAATCCCACCCAACCCAGCCTGTCCATGTGTCCACCACCCAGGTTTTCAGTCTTGTCCACCTGGATTTCATCTGTAAATCCCACCCAACCCAGCCTGTCCGTGTGTCCACCACCCAGGTTTTCAGTCTTGTCCACCTGGATTTCATCTGTAAGTCCTACCCAACCCAGCCTGTCCATGTGTCCACCACCCAGGTTTTCAGTCTGAGCTAAATGAACCGCTACTCGCTTTAATGTATAATTCCTCTGCCCGTTCTTCTGGATCTGCACATGAACCTCCTTCCTCCACAAAACTAAGAACCTGCTCGTTCCTCCTCCTTCGTACCCTCCACGTTGAACAGGTTGCTGGAGTCCCGCGTTCGTTCTGAGGGCGCCTGTGTGATTGGCAGGAGGTAGGACCGGTATCCCTTGAACAAGCAGGACATGAATCTGAGAAAGGAGGCTCGTACATCCAGCTCCAGCTGCGTGCGCCGCCCATAGATCAGATCGTAGTCTTTCAGCAGGAACTCCAGAGAAGCTTCCTCCATGGGCTTGTTGTACACTGGAGGGAGAAGAGAACGTGGACCCTCAGAAAACCACAACATAATGAATCACCACAAAGTGTCATAAAAAATGGGTTCCTGAATGTGCCCATCCCAGAAGGGCCACAAAAGGAGGAGCTTGGGCCACCCTTGTAAGTGACCTCAGAAAGGCAAAAGGATGTAAAACACACCAACACATAGAATGCCCGCCCATCCCCCATTCCCCCATAGAAATGGCTTGGCCACAGTAGGTATGAGGGGAATCTGTTTGCTAGGGGTCCTGGACTGAGAGCCCAGATACCCACCAGGCACAGGTAGGCACTGCAGATACAGACCAGTGACACCAAAGACAATGGGCACAGTGCTGGGACACAGACCAGTGACACCAAAGACAGCGGACACAGTGCAGGAACATGGACAGCACAGACAGGGGGCACAGTGCAGGGACACAGACCAGAGACAGGACAGCGGGGCACAGTGCAGGGACACAGACCAGAGACAGGACAGCGGGCACAGTGCAGGGACACGGACCAGAGACAGGACAGCGGGCACAGTGCAGGGACACGGACCAGAGAGACAGGACAGCGGGCACACAGTGCAGGGACACGGACAGCACAGACAGCGGGCACAGTGCAGGGACACGGACCAGAGACAGGACAGCGGGCACAGTGCAGGGACACGGACCAGAGACAGGACAGCGGGCACAGTGCAGGGACACGGACAGCACAGACAGCGGGCACAGTGCAGGGACACGGACCAGAGACAGGACAGCGGGCACAGTGCAGGGACACGGACCAGAGACAGGACAGCGGGCACAGTGCAGGGACACGGACCAGAGACAGGACAGCGGGCACAGTGCAGGGACACGGACCAGAGACAGGATAGCGGGCACAGTGCAGGGACATGGACCAGAGACAGCGGGGGCACAGTGCAGGGACACAGACCAGAGACAGGACAGCGGGCACAGTGCAGGGACACGGACCAGAGACAGGACAGCGGGCACAGTGCAGGGACACGGACCAGAGACAGGACAGCGGGCACAGTGCAGGGACACGGACAGCACAGACAGCGGGCACAGTGCAGGGACACGGACCAGAGACAGGACAGCGGGCACAGTGCAGGGACACGGACCAGAGACAGGACAGCGGGCACAGTGCAGGGACACGGACCAGAGACAGGACAGCGGGCACAGTGCAGGGACATGGACCAGAGACAGCGGGCACAGTGCAGGGACACGGACCAGAGACAGGACAGCGGGCAAAGTGCAGGGACACGGACCAGAGACAGGACAGCGGGCACAGTGCAGGGACACGGACCAGAGACAGGACAGACAGCGAGCACAGTGCAGGGACACGGACAGCACAGACAGCGGGCACAGTGCAGGGACACAGACCAGAGACAGGACAGGACAGCAGGCACAGTGCAGGGACACGGACCAGAGACAGGACAGCGGGCACAGTGCAGGGACATGGACCAGAGACAGGATAGCAGGCACAGTGCAGGGACACGGACCAGAGACAGAACAGACAGCGAGCACAGTGCAGGGACACGGACAGCACAGACAGCGGGCACAGTGCAGGGACACAGACAGCACACACAGTGGGCACAGTGCAGGAACGCGGTCAGCGGGCACAGTGCAGGAACGCGGTCAGCGGGCACGGGGAAGATGTAAGCAGAGGCCTCACTCTCGTCTAGCTGTTTGTGGAGGTCGCTCAGGCAGTTGCGGAGGACTTTGCAGGGTCTGCGGGGTAACGTCTGATAGGAGGGGATCTTCTTCTCTTCGCTCCTGTAAGACACACAAGGATCTGATGCGGACCGACAACACGGGGGTCCAACAATGACAACACACTGCACAACCCCTCCCCCCCCCCCCATACACGAGCAGGGGGATGAGCAGGGAGCATCTCTTACTGGAACAAGGTGTTGGTATCCAGGTCCACACACAGCACATCCTGAGGGGGGTCATGGAGGTCGAAGTAGCTGGAGTGGATGCCGACGATGAACGGCACCGGAGCACAGAGCACGTCGGCGAGAGTCAGCGGGCAGAGAGGGATGTAGGGGCACTGCCACCGCAGAGGGAAGATGATCTGCAGAGACAACAGGACTGTTACCCCCGCGGGACGCCGATGCCGGAATGTAACTACTGTAGCGGCTGGAGAATGACCGGAGGACAAAAGAAAAATGGCGGACACTCACAGACACCAGGGCCTCCGCCACGCTGGTCAGGACGTCCGGCCTCTGCGAATGAATGAGCAGCTTCTGTTCAGTGAGGACGGCGAGAAGTAGCGTCACCGCATTCTCCGGGCCCAGATTCTGGAGGAACGTCACGTAACTCGCACCGCTGCAAGACAATCAGACACAATCCAGGAAACACAGTGCGCACGCTAAAATAGCTTCCCTACATTGGGATGAGAATTTATTGGTACTGGATAAAGGGGCTGAGCACACTTGGCACTATAGAAATCCCAAAAAAGAATAAAAAATATGAATAATATATACTGTATATAGCACATAAAAAATAAATATTATTATTATTATTATTATTTATTATTATTATTATTATTAAATAGCAGTAAAAGTATTTAAAAAAAAAAAATATATATATATATATATATATATATATATATACACACACACACATTAAAAAAATGGTACTATTATTAATAATAATAATACACATTTATATATCTCATTTAAAAATACAAATAACAATAATAATAAATTGAATTATCTAATAAAAATCTGATGTTATAATATATAAGTATAATGCATTAAAAATATTATATAATTATTAATCATATATATATGAATAATATATACTGTATATAGCACATAAAAAAGAATTATTATTATTAATAAATAGCAGTAAAAGTATTTAAAAAAAAAAAAATTATATATATATACAGTATATACACACACACACACACATTAAAAAAAAAAGGTACTATTATTAATAATAATAATAATAATACACATTTATATATCTCATTTAAAAATACAAAATAATAATAATAATAATACACATTTATATATCTCATTTAAAAATACAAATAATAATAATAATAAATTGAATTATCTAATAAATATCTGATAATGTTATAATATATAAGTAAGTAATGCATTAAAAATATTATTATTATTATTATTATTATTATTATTATTAAATATATATATAATTTATCTAGCATTTAAAAACTATTATGTAGCATTAAAAAAATTAAATAATAAAAAATAGGTTTTTATTAAGCAAAAAAAAACCCCCCAAAATCTGATCTTTTATCACACGTTGCCTTATAGCTGCATATTAATGAGATCTTCTACACCCGAGGCCATTGGGACATTTGGATTTCTCTTCTCCCTCCCCCCCCCCCCCCCCAAAAAAAAAATTAAAAAAAATCCTTCTCTATCTTTCTTCTTGGGATTGTATCCCAGCTATTACTGTACAGTATATATAATATATACAAGGATTCTGTTGTCCATATGTGATGACATAAGGCAGGGGGCGCTGTGGGCTCACCTGAGGGGGAGGGGAGAAGACACGGGCTGGCACAGCAGGACGTTGTCGTATGAAGACATCTGAGGATGGAGATGACACGGTAGATCAGAACACTCATTGGAATCACCGCTGGTCAGATCACATCACAAATCTCCTCCAGGCGGAGGAGGTCCTAAGGCCACCAATCATCCATTCACCTCTCGCTTCATCTCCAATCAACCAGACTGAGCGGGGCTTTCCCAGTGTCTCCTGACTGAGGACTGCGGCCTCCAACATGGAACGCTCCTCAACCCTCCAACGTGGAACGCTCCTCACCCCTCCGACAAGGAACGCTCCTCACCCCTCCAACAAGGAACGCTCCTCACCCCTCCAACAAGGAACGCTCCTCACCCCTCCAACAAGGAACGCTCCTCACCCCTCCAACATGGAACGCTCCTCAACCCTCCAACATGAAACGCTCCTCACCCCTCCAACATGAAACTCTCCTCACCCCTCCAACATGAAACGCTCCTCACCCCTCCAACATGGAACGCTCCTCACCCCTCCAACATGGAACGCTCCTCACCCCTCCAACATGAAACTCTCCTCACCCCTCCAACATGGAACGCTCCTCACCCCTCCAACATGGAACGCTCCTCACCCCTCCAACATGAAACTCTCCTCACCCCTCCAACAAGGAACGCTCCTCACCCCTCCAACAAGGAACGCTCCTCACCCCTCCAACAAGGAACGCTCCTCACCCCTCCAACATGAAACGCTCCTCACCCCCTCCAACATGAAACTCTCCTCACCCCTCCAACATGAAACTCTCCTCACCCCTCCAACATGAAACTCTCCTCACCCCTCCAACATGAAACGCTCCTCACCCCTCCAACATGAAACGCTCCTCACCCCTCCAACATGAAACGCTCCTCACCCCTCCAACATGAAACACTCCTCACCCCTCCAACAAGGAACGCTCCTCACCCCTCCAACATGAAACTCTCCTCACCCCTCCAACATGAAACGCTCCTCACCCCTCCAACAAGGAACGCTCCTCACCCCTCCAACAAGGAACGCTCCTCACCCCTCCAACAAGGAACGCTCCTCACCCCTCCAACAAGGAACGCTCCTCACCCCTCCAACAAGGAACGCTCCTCACCCCTCCAACATGAAACGCTCCTCACCCCTCCAACATGAAACTCTCCTCACCCCTCCAACATGAAACGCTCCTCACCCCTCCAACAAGGAACGCTCCTCACCCCTCCAACAAGGAACGCTCCTCACCCCTCCAACAAGGAACGCTCCTCACCCCTCCAACAAGGAACGCTCCTCACCCCTCCAACAAGGAACGCTCCTCACCCCTCCAACAAGGAACGCTCCTCCCCCCTCCGACGTGAAACTCTCCTCACCCCTCCGACGTGGAACGCTCCTCACCCCTCCGACGTGGAACGCTCCTCACCCCTCCGACGTGGAACGCTCCTCACCCCTCCGACGTGGAACGCTCCTCACCCCTCCGACGTGGAACGCTCCTCACCCCTCCGACGTGGAACGCTCCTCACCCCTCCGACGTGGAACGCTCCTCACCCCTCCGACGTGGAACGCTCCTCACCCCTCCGACGTGGAACGCTCCTCACCCCTCCGACGTGGAACGCTCCTCACCCCTCCGACGTGGAACGCTCCTCACCCCTCCGACGTGGAACGCTCCTCACCCCTCCAACGTGGAACGCTCCTCACTCCTCCAACAAGGAACGCTCCTCACCCCTCCAACATGGAACGCTCCTCACCCCCTCCAACATGAAACGCTCCTCACCCCTCCAACAAGGAACGCTCCTCACCCCTCCAACAAGAAACGCTCCTCACCCCTCCAACAAGGAACGCTCCTCACCCCTCCAACATGGAATGCTCCTCACCCCTCCAACATGGAACGCTCCTCACCCCTCCAACATGGAACGCTCCTCACCCCTCCAACATGGAACGCTCCTCACCCCTCCAACATGGTACGCTCCTCACCCCTCCAACATGGTACGCTCCTCACCCCCCCAACATACATGTAGAACTACCACTCTCTACTACTCTCTCCTCGAGAGATTTCGCCTTGCAGACAGGAATGAAGGGAAATCTCACCGAGGACACAGATAGCAAAGCCCAGCCGAGGATCGAACATACAAACGTTTTTTAACCTCGTTCCAGGAAGAAGAGGTCTCTGGTTCCACCATACTGACCTGGATGAGGATGCGCGGTCTCTGCGGGGACGGGAAGGGGACATTGAACATGAAGTTGGAGATGTGTCTGAAAACAGAAGGGAAGTCCTTCAGAGTCCAGACATTGTGTGTGTGTGGCCGGCACAATGCAGGACCTATGCATGGACAACTCACTTCTCTATGGGCAGGACATGGGGGCCAGAGATGGAGTAGCGATAGATGAACGTCAGAAACTTCTGGAAGACGTCGAAGAACGGCCAGTGGGACAGAACGCAGATGCTTTTCTTGGTCTGAACGGACTTGCTGCTGATGGGGCGTCTGTCCACCACGCTGATCAGGCCAAGGCGCTGGCACTGCTTCTCCGATAGATCCTCCCGAGGATATTGCTCGTAGAACTGGATGGCGGCTCCGTATACCTGAGAGAGGAGCGCAAAGAGAAAGATGGAAATTTACAGGATAAGGCCAAGAGTCTGTGGACCCCTGACCAGTCATCACACCTACAAGGCCAAGAGTCTGTGGACCCCTAACCATCACACCAACAAGGCCAAGAGTCTGTGGACCCCTGACCATCACACCTCCAAGGCCAAGAGTCTGTGGACCCCTGACCATCACACCACCTACAAGGCCAAGAGTCTGTGGACCCCTGACCATCACACCTCCAAGGCCAAGAGTCTGTGGACCCCTAACCATCACACCAACAAGGCCAAGAGTCTGTGGACCCCTGACCATCACACCTCCAAGGCCAAGAGTCTGTGGACCCCTGACCATCACACCTCCAAGGCCAAGAGTATGTGGACCCCTGACCATCACACCTACAAGGCCAAGAGTCTGTGGACCCCTGACCATCACACCTCCACTGTGGACCCCTGACCAAGGCCAAGAGTCTGTGGACCCCTGACCATCACACCTACAAGGCCAAGAGTCTGTGGACCACCCTACAAGGCCAAGAGTCTGTGGACCCCTATTCATCACAACAAGGCCAAGAGTCTGTGAACCCCTGACAATCACACCTATAAGGCCAAGAGTCTGTGGACCCCTGACCATCACACCTACAAGGCCAAGAGTCTGTGGACCCCTGACCATCACACCTACAAGGCCAAGAGTCTGTGGACCCCTAACCATCACACCTACAAGGCCAAGAGTCTGTGGACCCCTGACATCACACCTACAAGGCCAAGAGTCTGTGGACCCCTATTCATCACACCTACAAGGCCAAGAGTCTATGGACCCCTAACCATCACACCAACAAGGCCAAGAGTCTGTGGACCCCTGACCATCACACCTACAAGGCAAAGAGTCTGTGGACCCCTATTCATCACACCTACAAGGCCAAGAGTCTATGGACCCCTAACCATCACACATACAAGGTAAAGAGTCTATGGACCCCTGACCATCACACCTCTAAGGCAAAGAGTCTGTGGACCCCTAACATCACACCTACAAGGCCAAGAGTCTATGGACCCCTAACCATCACACCTACAAGGCAAGAGTCTATGACCCTTAACATCACACCTACAAGGCAAAGAGTCCACCCCTAACATCACACCTACAGGGCCAAGAGTCTATGGACCACTGACCATCACACCTACAATGCCAAGAGTCTGTGGACCCCTAACCATCACACCTATAAGGCCAAGGAGTCTGTGGACTCCTGACCATCAACCCTATAAGGCCAAGAGTCTATGGACCCTTAACTATCACAGCTACAAGGCAAAGAGTCTGTGGACCCTTAACTATCACACCTACAAGGCCAAGAGTCTGTGGACCCCTGACCATCACACACCTATAAGGCCAAGAGTCTGTGGACCCCTTAACTATCACACCTACAAGGCAAAGAGTCTGTGGACCCCTAACATCACACCTACAAGACCAAGAGTCTATGGACCCCTGACCATCACACACTACAAGGCCAAGAGTCTGTGGACCCCCTAAGCATCACACCTACAAGGCAAAGAGTCTGTGGACCCCTAAGCATCACACCTACAAGGCCAAGTGTCTATGGACCCTTAACTATCACACCTACAAGGCAAAGAGTCTGTGGACCCCTAACATCACACCTACAAGGCCAAGAGTCTATGGACCACTGACCATCACACCTACAAGGCCAAGAGTCTATGGACCCCTAACCATCACACCTACAAGGCCAAGAGTCTGTGGACCCCTATTCATCACACCTACAAGGCCAAGAGTCTGTGGACCCCTGACCATCACACCTACAAGGCCAAGAGTCTGTGGACCCCTATTCATCACACCTACAAGGCCAAGAGTCTGTCTGTGGACCCCTGACCATCACACCTACAAGGCCAAGAGTCTGTGGACCCCTATTCATCACACCTACAAGGCCAAGAGTCTATGGACCCCTAACCATCACACCTACAAGGCCAAGAGTCTATGGACCCCTAACCATCACACCAACAAGGCCAAGAGTCTGTAGACCCCTGACCATCACACCTACAAGGCCAAGAGTCTGTGGACCCCTATTCATCACACCTACAAGGCCAAGAGTCTATGGACCCCTAACCATCACACCTACAAGGCAAAGAGTCTATGGACCCCTGACCATCACACCTCCAAGGCAAAGAGTCTGTGGACCCCTAAGCATCACACCTACAAGGCCAAGAGTCTATGGACCCCTAACCATCACACCTACAAGGCAAAGAGTCTATGACCCTTAACATCACACCTACAAGGCAAAGAGTCTGTGGACCCCTAACATCACACCTACAGGGCCAAGAGTCTATGGACCACTGACCATCACACCTACAAGGCCAAGAGTCTGTGGACCCCTGACCATCACACCTATAAGGCCAAGGAGTCTGTGGACCCTTACCTATCACAGCTACAAGGCCAAGAGTCTGTGGACCCCTAACCATCACACCTATAAGGCCAAGAGTCTGTGGACCCCTGACCATCACACCTACAAGGCCAAGAGTCTGTGGACCCCTATTCATCACACCTACAAGGCCAAGAGTCTGTGGACCCCTGACCATCAACCCTATAAGGCCAAGAGTCTGTGGACCCTTAACTATCACAGCTACAAGGCCAAGAGTCTGTGGACCCCTAACCATCACACCTATAAGGCCAAGGAGTCTGTGGACCCCTGACCATCACACCTACAAGGCCAAGAGTCTGTGGACCCCTATTCATCACACCTACAAGGCCAAGAGTCTGTGGACCCCTGACCATCACACCTATAAGGCCAAGAGTCTGTGGACCCTTAACTATCACACCTACAAGGCCAAGAGTCTGTGGACCCCTATTCATCACACCTACAAGGCCAAGAGTCTGTGGACCCCTGACCATCACACCTATAAGGCCAAGAGTCTATGGACCCTTAACTATCACACCTACAAGGCAAAGAGTCTGTGGACCCCTAACATCACACCTACAAGGCCAAGAGTCTATGGACCCCTGACCATCAGCCCTATACGGCCAAGAGTTTATGGACCCTTGACCATCACATCTATATGGCCAAGAGTCTATGGACCCCTGACTATCAACCCCATAAGGCCAAGGAGTCTGTGGACCCCTATCACTCCTATATGGCCAAGTGTCTTTGCACCTCCGACCAGCACATCTTTATGGACTAAAGCCTGCATGGCCATCAGTCCTATACGAGCTGTTAGGACACTGCACTCCGAAATCATGGCCAGTAACATGGCACTGGCCCACTTTTTGAAAACTTGGTCCTCCTTTTAGTCAAATTTCTTGTTTGCAATTCAATATGGTGACACTAAACTGGGAGAGAGCGAAGCAGAAGACCCATCTCACCTTGTCCCCAGACGCTCCGGTCAGCACGAAGGTGGAGAAGACTGGTAGGTGGTACTTGGTGTTCAGTGACCAGCTCTCGATGGTGGCCCCCATCGGCAGGCAGAACATAGCGACCAGTTCTGGGAACGGGAAGAGCTCGTTGTCCGTCTCCGGAAATCGGCTGATCACCCCTGTGAAGGAAAGCCATCAATACGAGGGTCAGATGTCTCCAGAAGGACCCACAAATCTTTTATTGGTGTACTGACCTCGGGGGGTTCACCAAGTGTGCTACCAAGAGCGACCAATCAGAACCCAACAGAGAGCCTTTCTCAGCCATTGTGCCCCAAGGGAACCCTTTAAATAATTCTCGGATCTAAGGGAACCCCTGATAAAATGACTTCATCTGGGTCCAATGGTGGTTGGTGGAACGCTCCAAAGCCTTCCTGGCAAATCACAGACCCTCAACCCCCCCCGACCCCCGCCCTACACACACTGACCTGCTTCATACACCAAGCTGTGCGTCTTCGCCATGGCCTTCTTGTAGCAGAGAAAGAGGGCGGGGCCAAACTGCAAAAAGATGTCACATGACTGAGACCGCAGGGCAGGACGCAATATGCGAGCATTATATATAGTGTGTGACTCTGGGGGAGGGGGCATTAGAGCGTAAGCTCCTCTGGTACAGAGACTGATGGGACTGTGGGGGAGGGGACATTAGAGCGTAAGCTCCTCTGGTACAGAGACTGATGGGACTGTGGGGGGAGGGGGCATTAGAGCGTAAGCTCCTCTGGTACAGAGACTGATGGGACTGTGGGGGAGGGGACATTAGAGCGTAAGCTCCTCTGGTACAGAGACTGATGGGACTGTGGGGGAGGGGACATTAGAGTGTAAGCTCCTCTGGTACAGAGACTGATGTGACTGTGGGGGGAGGGGACAGTAGAGCGTAAGCTCCTCTGGTACAGAGACTGATGGGACTGTGGGGGAGGGGACTTTAGAGCGTAAGCTCCTCTGGTACAGAGACTGATGAGACTGTGGGGGAGGGGACATTAGAGTGTAAGCTCCTCTGGTACAGAGACTGATGGGACTGCGGGGGGGGAGGGGACATTAGAGTGTAAGCTCATCTGATGCAGAGACTGGTGGGACTGTGGGGGAGGGGACATTAGAGTGTAAGCTCCTCTGGTACAGAGACTGGTGGGACTGTGGGGGACATTAGAGTGTAAGCTCCTCTGGTGCAGAGACTGGTGGGACTGTGGGGAGGGGACATTAGAGTGTAAGCTCCTCTGGTACAGAGATGATGGGACTGCGGGGGAGGGGACATTAGAGTGTAAGCTCCTCTGGTACAGAGACTGATGTGACTGTGGGGGAGGGGATATTAGAGTGTAAGCTCCTCTGGTACAGAGACTGGTGGGACTGTGGGGGAGGGGATATTAGAGTGTAAGCTCCTCTGGTGCAGAGACTGATGGGACTGTGGGGGAGGGGACATTAGAGTGTAAGCTCCTCTGGTGCAGAGACTGATGGGACTGTGGGGGGGGAGGGGACATTAGAGTGTAAGCTCCTCTGGTACAGAGACTGATGTGACTGCGGGGGAGGGGACATTAGAGTGTAAGCTCCTCTGGTACAGAGACTGGTGGGACTGTGGGGGGACATTAGAGTGTAAGCTCCTCTGGTGCAGAGACTGGTGGGACTGTGGGGGAGGGGACATTAGAGTGTAAGCTCCTCTGGTGCAGAGACTGGTGGGACTGTGGGGGGAGGGGACATTAGAGTGTAAGCTCCTCTGGTACAGAGACTGATGGGACTGCGGGGGGAGGGGACATTAGAGTGTAAGCTCCTCTGGTACAGAGACTGGTGGGACTATGGGGGAGGGGCATCTGGCGGGAGATGTTGGGGCCCTCACCATGCTGGTGTTCAGGTTCCGGTCCACCTTACAGAAGGTATGGGGTGTGCTCTCCCCTTTGCTGGGATTAATAATACAGATGTCCATGACCCCCAGCGTGTTGAGTCCCAGGGACTCGGGGGCCCTCTTGAAGATGAGGAAGGTTCTGGGCTGCCCGGGGGCCCCGGAGCTGAGGTTGGCGGAGTGGCTGTACGGCGTGGTCTCGAGGACTTCGAATCCGGCCTTCACGGTCTCCTTCCCCTCATAGTGGACCCTGAGAAGAGAGAGGCATGCTGGGACAAGGTGAGGATGGACGCACCCACAAGCACAAACCGCGGCCCGCCGCCAGCTCACCCCAGCTCTGTGATGGGCATCTTGTCCCTCCCCCCGGCGGTAGCACAGGTACAGCTGCTGGTTAGTGAGGAGGCTGGTGCTGAGGTCGGCGCTGTGGCCCCCGGGGTCCGCTCGATGCAGGTGTACCCCTGAGGAACGTCCTCGCCATGAGAGCGGATGATGACGGTCACGTCGGTGACGGGTTCGGGGGGGGCGCGCCGGACGGCGGTTCTCATCCTCTAGCGGCTTCGAGGTCGGCGTCAGACCCGCCACTACAAAATAGTCCACCAGCTCCGGGGGCCCCTCCTCCATCATGGCAGCATGTTGTCCGTTCTACGAGAAATCAAAGGGATACCGCATCAGGAGAGGAGCCGGTACAGCGGGAGGATGGGGGGGGGGGGTGGAGGGGTGATGGAGGGTGGAGGGGGGGGTAGAGGGGTGGTGGAGGGGGGGTAGAGGGGTGGTGGAGGGGGGGTAGAGGGGTGATGGAGGGTGGAGGGGGGGGTGGCTAGAGGGATGAATGGAGGGTGGAGGGGGGGGTAGAGGGGTGGAGGGGGGGGGGGGGGGTAGAGGGGTGAAGGGATGGAGGGGGGGAGAGGGGGTGAAGGGATGGAGGGGGGATGATGGAGGGTGGAGGGGGGGTAGAGGGGTGATGGAGGGTGGAGGGGGGGGTAGAGGGGTGATGGAGGGGGGGGGGGGGGGGGGGGTAGAGGGGTGATGGAGGGTGGAGGGGGGGGGGGGGGAGGGGTGATGGAGGGGGGAGGGGGGGGGTAGAGGGGTGATGGAGGGTGGAGGGGGGGGTAGAGGGGTGATGGAGGGTGGAGGGTGGGGGGGGTAGAGGGGTGATTGAGGGTGGAGGGGGGGGGTGGGTGGAGGGGGGGGGGGGTAGAGGGGGGTGGAGAGTGGAGGGAGGGGAGGAGGGGGGGTAGGGGGTGGTGGAGGGGGTGGTGGGGGGGTAGAGGGGTGGTGGAGGGGGGGTAGAGGGGGGGGGGGAGGGAGGGAGGAGGGGGGGGGGGAGGGGTGGTGGGGGGGGGGGGGGGGGGGGTAGAAGGGGGGGAGGAAGATATAATCCTCTAATGTTCTGTATGGATACAATGTATCAGTTCTTCTGTCAGTGTCACTTCCTGTGCCCCCCCCCCGTGTCACTCCCTGCCCCCCGTGTCACTTCCTGTGCCCCCTCCCCCCGTGGTCACTTCCTGTGCCCCCTCCCCCCTGTGTCACTTCCTGTGCCCCCCCCCCCCCCCGTGGGTCCCCTTCCTGTGCCCCCCCCCCCCCCGTGTCACTCCCTGTGCCCCCCCAGCAGAGAACAATGAAGGACTAATAGGCTCCGATCTCACCCGATCTGCTCAGAATGGAAGTCATGGGCTCCCGGTGAGCCGGGGTCCTCCGATACACCAGACTGGAGGGGGCTTTCATTCCGGGGGTCTCTACAGATGGGGGGGGAGGGGGGGGAGACAGGCGATGAGATGACACACAGGAGGACTTACAGCCAGGAAAGTGGAGAGCAACGGATTCCTCTGCTGCAGTTTCACTTTCACTTATAGATATGAGCATTGCCCCTTACAGGTCCCCCCCCTCCCCCCACCGGACCCCCCCAGTCTATGATTGGACAGTGAACGGAGAAGCAGATTGATGATGCTCAGTCACTCTCTGCTCTCTCCTCCTATCAGCATGCACATGTGTGGTCGGCTCCTTGTGCTGCTTCTCCCTCTCAAAGTCTGAGCTCTGCTGTACAGGAAGTGCGGGAGGCTGGTCCCAGGTCACAATCAGGATGACAGAGCTGCAGTCCTGTGTGCCTTCCATTCTGCCCTGAGGGGGGGGCTTTCAATTCCTTGTGTCAGACCTCATAGCGGGGGTACAGACCCGGGAACTTGGCACAGGGATGGTGGGAACCCCTAACAATGGGCACAAGGATGGTGGGAACCCATCACAATGGGCACAGGGATGGTGGGGGGAACCCCTCACAATGGGCACAGGGATGGTGGGAACCCCTCACAATGGGCACAGGGATGGTGGGAACCCCTCATAATGGGCACAGGGATGGTGGGAACCCCTCACAATGTGCACAGCGGCATACCTGGGGACTCCTCCGGTCCTGATCTCATAGCAGGACAGTCGGTGGGGCAGGGACAGACGAGCACCCAGGAAGCTCCGGTAGAAGGCGGCAGAATACAGGGACGGACGGGGGGTGCGGTAAACACGGCGATGTCTGGAGAGGGGAAAGTGAAGAGTGAGAGGAGGAAAACAGGAAGAGGAAGCCGGACAGGAAGGGGACGATCGTCAGCCGAGGAAACATCACTTCCTATATTCATCCAACACTCGTCACCGGCCCCCCCCGCCGAATCCAACCCCACTGGGGCCCAGATCCAGGCGGTCACCAACCTACACCCCCCACAATCCACCCCACGGGGGGGTCACCCGCAGATCCGGGGGGTCACACCCTACAGAAACCCCCCCCCGCAATCCAACCCACGGGGGAGGTCCCAGATCCGGGATGACCGGGAGAGTCAACAGCCATACCCCCCCACAATCCACCCCATGGGGGGGTCCCCAGAATCCGGGCGGATTCACACCCTTACACCCCCCCCCCGTAATCCACTCTACGGGGGGGGAAGACCCCAGATCCGGGCGTCACAACCCTACACCCCCCCCCCCGCATCCACTCCCACTCTACGGGGGGGGTCCCCAGATAACGGGCGTCACGCCGAGTACCCCCCCCCCCCCCCCCCCACAATCCACCCCTAAGGGGGGGGGGGGCCCAGGTCCGGGGACATCACACCCTACCCCCCCGCAATCTGGCAACCCACGGGGGGGTCCTCAGGTCCAGATCGGGCGTCACACTCTACCCCCCCCCCCACAATCCACTCGCACGGGGGGTGGTCCCCAGGTCCGGGCGTCACCCACACCCTACCCCCGTTCACTGCCAGCATGGTGCCAAGGGGGGGAGACTGAGGATGCCTGAAACAAGAACTGTCTGGGCTCTGCACCCTGATTGGTTGTCCGGCCGGCACACACATCAATGGTGAGGACAGCTGGAGGGAGAATAATGTCCGCCTTGTCTGAGGTGCAACCGAGAACCTCCAGCTGGCAGGATGGGCGGGCCCCGGGCGCTGCATTCTAATGGGGGCCCCAAAACACAGAGACTCCGAGGGCCCCGATGATGGCGGGGCGAGATCCAAGGAGGAGTATTCCACATGAAAACATTTCTGTGCTTCATCCATCTCCCGTGCTGATCGATGTTTATAAACAATGTTACTTTGTATCTCTCTATCTCCCGTCTGATCGATGTTTATAAACAATGTTACTTTGTATCTCTCCATCCCCCATCTGATCGATGTTTATAAACAATGTTACTTTGTATCTCTATATCTCCGGTCTGATCGATGTTTATAAACAATGTTTTACTTTGTATCTCTCCATCTCCTGATCGTCTGATTTGATGATGTTTATAAACAATGTTACTTTGTATCTCTCCATCCCCCGTCTGATCGATGTTTATAAACAATGTTACTTTGTATCTCTTCCATCCCCATCTGATCGATGTTTATAAACACATGTTACTTTGTATCTCTAGTATCTCCGGTCTGATCGATGTTTATAAAACAATGTTACTTTGTATCTCCATCTCCCGTCTGATTGATGTTTATAAACAATGTTAACTTTGTATCTCTCCATCCCCCCTCTGATCGAATGTTTATAAACAATGTTACTTTGTATCTCTCTATCTCCCGTCTGATCGATGTTTTGTATAAACAATGTTACTTTGTATCTCCATCTCCCGTCTGATCGATGTTTATAAACAATGTTACTTTGTATCTCTAATCTCCCGTCTGATCGATGTTTTATAAACAATGTTACTTTGGTATCTCTATCTCCCGTAAGTGCTGTTATGATCGATGTTTATAAACAATGTTACTTTGTATCTCTCCATCCCCCGTCTGATCGATGTTTATAAACAATGTTTTTGTTTCCACTTTGTATCTCTCCATCCCCCGTCTGATCGATGTTTATAAACAATGTTACTTTGTATCTCTATCTCCCGTCTGATCGATGTTTATAAACAATGTTACTTTGTATCTCATCTGTTTTTAAATACAACATGTTACTTTTGTATCCCCTCCCGTCTGATCGATGTTTATAAACAATGTTACTTTGTATCTCTCCATCCCTCCCGTCTGATCGATGTTTATAAACAATGTTTACTTTGTATCTCTATCTCCCCGTCTTTCTCCGTCTGATCGATGTTTATAAACAATGTTACTTTGTATCTCTCCATCCCCCGTCTGATCGATGTTATATTCCGTGCTGAAACAATGTTACTTTGTATCTCAATCCCCCCCGTCTGATCGATGTTTATAAACAATGTTATTAACTTTGTATCTCTCCATCCCCCGTCTGATCGATGTTTGTAAACAATGTTTGGATTCCAGGGACTGGATTGACCTCCTGTTACTTTAGCATGCCTTCAGTACAACTGACCAAATCAGGGCCTCCATGTGTAGATTCTGCATGGAGGAGGTCAACTGATCAGGAGTCCCCTCCTCCAACCACAGGGCTGGACGGGGTGGAGGGCGAGGCGAGGGCGGGGCATAGGGCGGGGCACACACACAGCTGTCCCGGGACCTTCAGGCTACAAATAGATCAGCAGACAGAAATAGCCGGAGTCCCCGGAGAGGGGAGGGGGACCATGAGGGGGGAATCACAGGAGACACACCCCTCCCTCATAACATCAATAGAAAGGGGGAGGGGTATCACGGAGGGAATCCCCACCCCCCCCAAAACATCAGAACAGAAAGGGGGGTGAGGGGTATCACGGAGGAATCCCCACCCCCCCCTAACATCAGAACAGAAAGGGGGAGGGGTATCACGGAGGAATCCCCACCCCCAAGCTTAAGGTGGACCTGTCATCAGATATAATGTGTCAGCGTGACCCTGACAGGTATTACCCCCCCTCCCCCCCCCCCCCCCCCCGAGATCCCAGGACTCCTCCCACAAACACCATCTGACCTCCTCTCCAGGAGCACAGCGCCATCTGTGTTCCAGCATCCCCGGGGTCACCATCTACTGCCTGCACTGAGAGGAACAACCATGGCGGTGTTCACAAAATGTCTGACACAGATCTGCCCCTGCTATACCATGTACAGTCTGATCACTGGGGGAGGGGAGACTGAGGAAATGCCTCCTCCTGCCTGCAGCAGACTGAGGACACAGAGTGGGAGGTGTAATGGATGAGGTT